AAGTAGATGTTGGACGGCTCCTGTCCGGCTTTCAAAACTCTGTACAAGTAAATAGATGTTTGTTTTATCTGATATAAAAAATTGAATGGAGATAAAATGGTTACTCATTTAAGACCCATATATATTTGATTCAATAATTACTTAGTCAATGATTACATAGGATTAGTATAATATTTTCTTCTATATAAAAGTAGGCTATGTAATAAGCACATGGGATAATCTCATAGTTCAATTACAGCATAATATAAAGAATAAAACATATATGAGTTTTCAAAAGTACACAATGCATACAAATTTATTATCAACATTTAAAGTTAATTAAAGCTGAAGTTCAAAATAAATTCAAATAATTAAATCAACAAATTCAAATAAAATCATTAATTATGGGTTAGGATTTTTAAGCTTTTTACATTTTAAATTTAAATGATACATATGATATCAAGTACTTAACTAATCAGAGATTTATTGGGAGCTATAGAAGTTATCTGATTTGTAGACTTCTTTTAATTTAAAATTTACAGTTCCCCCGTATAATCAACATGAAGGAGCCATGGAAAAACTTGAGTCATCTCAGCTAACTGGACTTTAGGAAGTAAACGAAATTGATGGCCACCCACGTGTGCAAGCGGGGGCAAGGGCTTAATCATAGGATTAAAACTTTAATAGTTTAGATTTCATATTTATTAAATACTAAATAGAATATTAAATTTTAAAAATAAATAAAATAAAATAAAATAAAGCTACTAAATTTTAGTCAGAATAATTCAAAAAAAAACTAAAAACATTTTATGAAATTATTTTTTAAAACATGAAATATGAGGCGTAAAACTTTTAATTTTAATGATTGAGATAAAAAGTCGATGAAAATAAAGGAAAAGGGAGGTGGGGACACCTATTACCTTATGGAAGCCACCACTAGTTTTTATTAAATACCGATAGAGAAATATCACATAAACGAGGAGAGAAATTACTACTCAATCATCATTTACAAATCGAAATCTAAAACACCAAGAGAATCGAAATCAAAGAGATAAAACGGAATCCATAACACAGAAAATAAAAATTGAAGAGATGAAAAAGTAATCGAAGTCCATCACTTCACCTTCCAGGCAAGGTTGGCGGAGACCATGGCAACATATGTATCTATAGAAGAAAGAACAAAATAAGAGTTAATATAGTTTGTAGCTCTTAAAATTTAGTCCGTATTAAAACTCAAAGAACATGAAATTTAATTTAAAAAATGAGGAAGTGGAAAAAGTGGGTAAAATTAAGGTGATGGAAATTACAACTTGAATGTATATACTTATGAAATCCCATTTTTCAAAACTTTACTGGATACAATCTTATTCGAAATATTATTAAATACTATGTCCGGTCCTAATTAGTTGACTAATTTGACAAGATTAAGAAAATAATTTAAGTTAGTTATTTGTCATAAATAGGTGTTGTTTTTTTTAAAATATTCTTACTAATTAAATGTATTGGCTAGGACTACTATTATTAGAAATCATCTTGAAAAAAATTGGATAAATATAAGAAACAATGTGAATTGGAGTCTTATAATTAGAACCAAAATAAAAATTAAATTAAATCTTATATTAAGAATCGGAGGTAGTACTAAAAATATACACCGCAGGGACACAGACGCCTCAGGGGTCATTATCTTTTTTGTCCCCACAATCCGGCAAAGCGCGTTCACTCTACTGTGATAAATGGGCTTTGTGCTAATGAGGAGAAGGAAGAAACAACGATTGGGCCTATTTATGATCGCATTGGGCTTAGGGAGTACGGACTAACATGGAAGGAGCCAAGGTCCATAATTGGAGCAAGACTGGGGCGTGAAAGAAGTCGCTTTCCCTCTCCTGCCTCCCTTTTTCTTCATGAATTATGACCCTTCCATCTGAAACTGTGTTCCCTTTTGTATTTTAATCAAATATGTTCGTACAAATATATCTGTGACTATGATTTTAATTGAAGTAGTGCAGTTTTCCACATTTATGATTTCTCTGTTATTTGCTTGCCTGTTACTATCTCTTCTGGTGTTTGTGTTTGGGGAGTTCCCCCCCCCCCCTCACATGGATATCTTTCTATTATAGATAATTCTATTTAAGATATTATTAGGTATTAAATATAGGTATCTCTCTTGACGGGATTTCAAATATTAGTTCACCATATTATGAGGAACTAGTTCTTTTCGTTAGATTTAACTTTTCAAAAAGATTATTTCATTGCATTATTTCTTTTATTAATTGCACCCAAAAAACGTGTTTCCCCAAAATGATATCAAACACTTTTTCTGTGCTGTGGATATTGAACGCAATTGAATATTTAATAGTTAAACTTAACGGTAGATAATAGTCAAGATGTTTTTATTGTGAAAATAAACTATTGGAGCATATAAGAGCTAAAAAAAACTTTCTAGTATTGGGTGCTCTTTTATGGATATTTTTAGAATATATAAACACTTTATCCTTAATAATTATGTTTCGCTGAATACTTTAATCCTTTGGCCAAAACTAAATGAATAACAATGGAATAATCTCCAGAAGAAAACGACGAAGCAATGAGCTGTCACCGCCGCCAAGCGGCCCAAATTTGCTGATGCTGATTCCCTTTCCCATGTAAATGCACGCACACGCTGCCAGCAATATTCTCTATTATATAATATTACGGAATTTCTTAATCAATAAAATATTTGTTCTTTGCATTGCATTATGGGTATGATTCAATATGATTTAATGTGTGTGTGTGTGTGTGACGAAAATATGCTCAATTATTTTTTCAGTCCGTGGTATAATCATAAATCCTTTCCGTAATTAGACATTGTGCTTATACTTTACGGCGAGTTTGAGAAGGGGAAGGAGCTTAATATTTGTGATTTATGAATATTATTGCAAAGATTTATACAATTCAACATGCAAATGCTTGTAATAGCTTGTTTAGAGCTTGTATGGACTAGTATTGGATAAATAGCTACTCCTCCAGTCCTAAATAAGATCCTTATACTAGTGTGTATAAGAGTTTTATACTACTTCCGGTTCTTAATATAAGACCCCGTTTGACTTTTAATTTGGTCCTAATTATAAGACCCCAATCTATTTTGTCTCTCATATTTATGCATTTTTTTCCAAGATAGTCCTTCTAATAATGATAGTTTTAACCAACACATTTAATTAGCAAAGATATTTTATGAATGACAACACTTATTTATTACAAATAACTAACTTAACTTACTTCCTTAATCTCCTCAAATTAGTCAACTGGGTCTTATAATTAGGACCGGAGGTAGTATTTAAGACCAGAGAAATATTTATTATGATTGTATTGTTGGAGCTGTGAATGCGATTTTGGGAGGGTGTGAGAGTAACCACTCCTTTTAAGGATATTATTAATGATATTAGATTACTTATACATAAGAACTAGTTGGTGTATCTATACCATATTAGAATGAATGAGATTAGAGCAGTGGATGAGATGGCTAAATTAGCTCATAGCTCAGATTCAAGTTGGTTCTTCTTTTATTAGCAGACACCACCTTTAAACCTAGTGGGAAGGGGGGGTCTCTCCACTTTCCTCTCCCTCCATTTTTCTTCACTTCTCATCTCAACGATAAGATTATAATTTGACCAGTTTAGATTTTATATTTTATAAAATTATAAATAAAATGTTATATTGTTTTAAAAATCAATAAATAAAATTAAAACTAGCAAAATTTTAGCCATGATAATTTAGGGATACTCTGAATTGTACTAAAAAAAAAGAAAAAAGAAAAAGAAAATCTCATATGCAATAAAACAATGCCTAATATCATTTAGGTTGGGTTGGGTGAAGATGAGTTGTGTTAAGCATAATTATATCTATCACTAATATAAAATATAAAATCATAACAAGTTTCATTATTTAAATTATGAACAATTTGACTTTCTTAGCCTCCCTATAATATATGGAAACATGTACCGTTGTTATATATATGTGTGTGTGTATAGAGGAATGAATTAATGCAAATATCATATAATTTCTATAAAATAAATATGTAAAAAATTTAAATTTTATGATATATTGTGCCCATTAGTATCTAACTAAAAATGCATTCATCATGTTAATACATAATAGTATAAAATTTATTGGAAGATAGAATATTATAATTGTGCAGCTTTTTTTTAAAAAACACATTGTTCTTGTTAAAATTAAAACAGGGTAATGAAATGGTTAAGTCGAGCATTGGCAGGGAAAATCATGCTAATAAAGTTAAACTAAGTTAGTTGAATATAAAAACTCAGAGTTATACTATTCAGTTCCTTATTTAAAACCTTTTTATTTAAAAAAATTGTTGATAAATGTCCCATTGCAAATTTACTGCCTAAAATACTTGAAATTTGTTCAACAGGTACAACTTATCTTTACCGTAACAACTTTCCCTCATATATCTGCAATTTATTTTTAATTATGTGCCATCCAAAAGAAAATACAAGCATAGATGAAGATAATTAAAAAAGAAATTATACCTACTTAATGATCTGGGCTTTTAGGTACCATCATTAACTAACATTGCTTCTGATTTTTAATATAAGAGCTAGTTAACTAATTTAAGTAGATTAAAAAATTAATTAAGATGGTTATTTATAATAAATAAGTATTGTCTTCTCTAAAATACTTTTACTAATCAAGTGTATTAGTTACAACTAATATTTGATGAAACTTTTAACATGTGTAACTATTACAAAAATTATCCTAAAATAAATAAATAAATATAAAAAATAAAATAAATTAAAATATTATATTTAGAAATAAATTAAATTTCAAACTGATTTTGGAACCGAGGCAGTAACTTTTAATCTTTTCCAATGGGAAACTTTTCAACAGATGTCCCAAAGTTTCTTGTTGGTCCTTTTTTTCACAGTTCATATTCATGAGGTAATTTACCTTTGCGGTGTCGTTTCATGGGACCCGACTTCATTTGCCGTGAGGTCACTGCTAATGTGATCGCGGCTATAAATGCAAGCAAAGCAGTTTTGCAGAATTTCCAGTGTCGGAATCACTTCAGAAAATTTTCCTTTAGGATGGTGGAGCTCTTCATATTGGGTTGCACTGGAATCGTCGCCTTCCTTCACGGCGCCAATTTCTTCTTCAACTTTCTCTCCCGTCCCCTTCGTTTTCGATCTCTCAGGTCCAACCATTCATCTCATTCTCTCTGCTCCTATTTCTGATTTCATCTCATCACCTCTTTCCCCCCCCCCCTCGATTGGATTGACTTTAAATCTCCAAGTTTACCTACTACTCGTTCATTAAAAACCGATTTATTCACAATAGTTGCTTTCAGATCGATTTCTCTCCTCGATTCTGCGGTTCCTCTTTCAATTTATTCAGTTTTCGCGTGATTTTTCTTTCGATTTATTTGGTTTCTGAGCGTTGAATCATGTTTTCTCGCAGTTTCTTGGGTTTCGTCGGGTGATTTATCTCTTCTTGAAGAAAATAAGAAAGCAGAAAATAAATTGAATCTGCACGCAAAAGTCATTCAGATCTGAGACTCTGTTGTTAGTCGTTGTTGTTGCTCGCATGGAGCTTCAAGATTTCTGTGAATATCTTATTGTGTAAATTTGTAAATACGACGATGAACGACAATAAGGCAAGTAAACTCCTGTAATTAATAGATTCGTTTTATTTTCAATTTCAAGCGGCTTTGCAATTGAAGGATTGGACTATATGCCAAACTGGACTTTTTTTATTATTTGGATATGGATTACGATTTGCCGTGTTCCTTGCTCATTCAAGAAATTCCAGGAAAGGACAGGAAACGTAATTTTTCAATCATCACTCAATCATTAGTATTAATTATAAACTGGGGAAATTGGATTATCTGTTGTTCTTTTCTCCCTTGTAGGCCAATCTATCTTTAGAAGGAAGTTTTAGAAGGAAGTCGTTCTCCATGAAACAATGGTTTCAAGAGTTTCTTTGTGTTTACGCATAACAAGTTTAGGAACTTTTTTTTTTGGGGGGGGGGGGTCGGACAGCCAGTATCCTGCCCTGCCCCACTTTGACTTGGAAGATTCAATGTCACCCAAATTAATTCAAATCAAACAAGTTACAATTGCAAATGATATCAAATCCACAACATTCACTTGCATATGAATTTCCATGCGGAGGAGGTCATAAGGTTATTGGCTAATGATTTTATTCTTGAAATAGGTTAAATTGAGGCTCCTTTGTAGCAGTATCCAGTATAAATTTGGACCCATTTCACAACCTCACATATTGTCTCTCGTCTTTAGGATAAGAATTAAATAATTATTTTGTAAACATTAAGAGAATTTATTAAATTAGTTATTTATAATGAACATGTTTTAGTTTTTAAAGAATGTGCTTCTTAATCATGTGCTCGAAAATCTTATATGGAGGGTCAAAATAAACTTAGTAGTCTCAATTGCCTCTTTCTTAGTGAATGCTATTTTAGTTAAAGCTCTTAACTTCAACTCATATCCTTGCTTTGAATCGTTTTTTTAATGTCATGCACACGTATTCTTTTATTAAAGAGAACTATGTGTGAGCACAGTGAGTACCCTCGTTGGTTTTACGCTTTTAACTTTTTAATCAATAATCTTAGACAGAGATGGGATATGCACCGCTACACCTTAAAATCCAAATATCCAAAATAACATTTTTATGACCTGAGCGAGTTCTTCCCCACGACACCACTCATCCAATTACAGCATTTTTTCTTTTTTTTCATTCCATACCATTTTGCACATTGGACAAGTCCTAAAACATCTCATTCTTCCAGAGAAAGTAGAAGGAATACTTTCTTTCTTTTTTTTTGTTCTATTTTTTTATTTTATGCTAGCATTTTGAACTTTGAAGAAGCATCAACAATAAAAAGAGGTGGCAGAAAGTGAAACTCATTCGTTGGGAGGCTTGAAGAAGTTGGTTTAGAGAACTTAATGAGGCATTGCTATAGGAGAGTGCATTTCAAGATAACCCATTGATGCAATTTATTGTGACCCAATCACACAAAACTATGAACGAACTTAAGTGTATGTTGAACAATTTTTCTCCTTTGTGATAGACATATCGAGTTGGTTCTGAGATAGGGATAAGAATTGAATGTCAATTAGCAACAAGTTTCTTGGTTGAAGGATTGATATATCTCTGAACATAGATAGTTTTCTATGTTTAATTTTAAGCTTTTACGTACTTGAATAGAGCCAAAGCATGCTAATTGGATTTGTGTCAAACGATAATTTTGGGAATTTATTGATTAATATAGATTTAATTACAATTTTTAATTTTCGGAAGCCTCTTATCTCCTTTGTTACATGGTATTATATTTCTTTGGGTGAAGGATATCCTCTAACAGGTCGATAAAGGTACAATTAGGATAGGAAAAATGAAATAACAATATCTGTTAAATTTCAAAAAGATAACTAGATCATGTTGACAAATTCTTGTAATAATTTTGACGACTCTTGAACTAATTTTGACAAGTCAAAATCTGCTAAAATCGTCTATTTATCATTTTGAAATTTAACGAGTATTTTTCGATCAATTTCCTTGTGCTATTATATTCTGGGCATAGAAATGAAAGAGTCATTCATAGGAACGTTAGCCCAAATCCTTTGTCTCAGTGATACACATGGCAGGAAAATTTTTGAGCCTGCACGCAGCCGGTCGGGACTACTTTGAGGATCGAAGAACTACAAAGACCATTGACTTTCCAGTTCTTTTACCGGAACAAATATTGTGGAATTACTGGTATGTAGATTTCACAGAGTGCGGAAAAAAATAAGGGAAGAAAAAAATAAGGGAACAAATACTGTGGAATTACCCGTCAAGACACTAACTAGTTCAAGATTCTATGATAAAATCGTGGCCGGATCAGTTTTAATTAAGTTAATATAATTTTCAGAATATGTATGAAAAATAGAAATATCTTAGATAATATTTATTCATTTCTTGTTCTAATCATTATCTTCAACCCCTTCTCCGCCTCCTTCCAAAAATCGGAATGTTTCTATTCATAGAAACAGCAAAAAAATAAGGTTCCTCCAATCTAAGCGCATCAAAGCAACCCCTCCCCCCCAAAAAAAAACCCAAAAAAAAAAAAAAACCGTTGGCATTTCTTCCCATTCCCTTCATCACAAATATTTGGGTCAATCTCTTTTAAACATTTCCAACCACATGAACTGAAAATATAGGTTGGATCCACCAGTCTAATCTGCCAAAATTGGTGGCTTAACCCCCATTAATTTTTTTTAATTATTATATTTTATTATTATATGTTACATCCTATCCAAAAAATTTAAAAAATGCCTATATTATTTATTTGGTGCTTTCAATCATTTAAAGGAAAAATAATCATTTTATTATTATTTTATATATTGTATAGAAAATATTAAAAAAATATTTTTTTAAAAAAATAAATAAATAATTATTGACAAGCCGACTTACCAAACCATCAAGATTTAGCAAATTTGCATGGGAACAAATCTTTTTGGCCTGCATTGCACAGGCGCAACCTATCACGTGCCAACCACCAACCCACGCAACCTATCACTTGTCAACCTACAACCCATGAGTTAGCCCGTATGACTATCCTTTACATAAATAATCCCTCCTTCACCACTTATCTTCATTGGCCCTTTTTCCAGTTCTATCTCCTTCCTTGTACATCTTGTACCTCCAACCCCATAAATCTGGACCCCATTGTCATAGTTTTTCATTGTCTGTAGCGCCTGATTGCGTCCAAGTTTTACTTAAATTTGGATTTGTTGGTGCTGTGATGTGATTAGAACTCAGCAGTTCTTTTGTTCTAAACAAGGACTGAACTGCAAAGTTTGTGCAATTAGCGCTTTTCTTGTAAATTCCCTAATTTTGTAACCACTTTAAGAATACGGGAATCCGTACGCGGGAGTTTTTTTGTGGGTTCAAGTTATGTTGTGTTTTGTTTAAATTTTATTTGATTACTTCTTGTTTGTTTTGGAGTACTTGGATGTGAACAAAGTAAACCTAGATTGAATGTTATAGCAAGTTAGCAACTCAAAGTCTTAAGCTCTGGAAAATTTCTGAGATATGATGCTCTACTTTCACTTACCAGCTCTTACAAAATAAGCAAAGGGATCCACATCTGTTTGCGGGCAACAGGATTATGAACTATTAATTCATGCACAAATGCCTTTTCTCTTTCTGCTAATAATTTATGTTAATGGGTCTTTTGTTATTTTTTTGGCCAAAAATGGAACTTTTTTTTCATAATACTGATATATAATTCATTTTTCATCTAACAGCTGTTCCGACATACCTGGCAAATTCATAGCATTTCTTTAATCCAATTCCATAGACTGTTGTCTTTGTTTAGAATACATGTATGAATGACTCACAAAAACATACATAATATACAACTTAACAAGAAGGCAAGTATCAAAGGAAAAGAACCATGTTATGAAAGATGTAGGAAACTGTACTATTCACAAGACATTAATGGTATGACTCATGAGATTAATGCCAACATGTGAAATCCACTCTAATTTACTTTCATATCTCGTCCCAAAATCCAATTGCCAACGAAGCTCCTCGGAATCGTAGGCTCCCCCGGGTCGTATCTCTATCTAAAATCCTCTCATCCAATGCGCTTTGTGCCAGATGAGATAAATGTGGAATCTGACTTTGAACAAATGATAAAACTAACTGTATTTACAACATATAAAGAACTGCACCTTATTCCTTCTCTTGACATTCATATCACAGTAAATCATTTGATATGATAGTCAACAATGAATACTTCGCCTTGATCGAGATTCTGCCATCGTTTACACAAAGCTTTGCTCCAGTAACCACCCAATATCCCGGCAAATCCTCGGGACCACGAACTGTTTCATTTGTGTCCACGAGGCTCAGCATTTTCTGAGCTCTAGTTGGCACAGGAGGGCCACCTTGATAAACTGCTGAATTTATATCCACTTTTTCTGGCTTTACAGGAGAAGCCAATTCCTTGCTAAGCCTCGTGGTGCTCATCAATGCTGAGAAAAACCCTGACTTTTTAGTTCCAGTTAATGTCCCATCCCATTCTGATCGTCTGATTGTAGCTGAAGCAACCGCTGAGAATCCAAGATTCAAGAAAAGAACTTTCTTCATTCCCATTGACTTGACCTCCAACCAGGCCTTTGTTACAATAGCTGCGGACTCGTCTATATGGGAGGAGTTGTACTGCACTGGTGCTGTGCACACATGGGAGAACATACGGCACTTCACAGCCTCATAGTAGCCTTTTGCAACTGTTGTATCAATAGGTTCATGCTCATGATCATCTGAGATTGAAAGGATACCAGGAAGTTCTGAAAGATGTAGGAGATGGATCCCGAGTTGGTCACTTTTCTTGCCTTCCAGATATAATCGGATACCCGTTACAGGTCTATTTTTAGAGTCAACCTGCAAAATGTAGAACAAAGAAACAATGAAGAGTTTTGGTCTTTAGTATATTGGCTGTAAACAACTAGTAAATGCGTAACAGGAAAAGCCAAGTCAATTAGCATAGGTAGTTTTGATAACTTGAAAAGAAAATGTACTGCTCAAAGGCCCTTTGTTGCGACACATTGACAAGGGATTAATGCCAAAATCCATGATTAACTAACAAGCACGCTTTCAAAATAAATATTTAGTTATTTAGTAGTTAATTCAATGCCTCTCCCTATTTGAAAGAAATACAGACAGGGTTATTTCAGAAGAATTATAGTTCCATACACAGATTAATTAAGCATTCATGATTTCCAGAAATAATTCAAACAATTTATTTAGTGATGATCAAAACACAGGAAATATGTCGTACGCTGATATCTCATTCTACAGTATCTTAAATACCTCGGCAAGATATAAGACCATGGTATTTAGATACTCTTGCTTGGAAGGGAAATTAAAAATTAGCATGTGAAAAAGACAAAACCAGAAGTTCACAAAAGTTAAAAAGGACAAGGGAGATTAGGTAGGAGATCCCTGTGATTTTTAAGTAGTATGAGATATCCAGAAAGTGTGATACTATGACAACTTAGGACAGACCTATCATTTTGATAATAGTGCAACACAAGTATCTTGGATATTGACTGACATCCAAAATGTCAAGTCGAGATTACGAGCATCAGATCCCTCCATAATATTATTATACAATCAAAGAAAGCAAATAAAAAAATAGGCGCACAAATCATATTTATAGGGGTCATACCTAATATTACTCCGTTTGATGCTAAATGTAGTGCGTTTAGATGCTACTCAAAACCATGGTTTTGTAGAGAAAACCATGGTTTTATGTAATATCATCCATACACCAAAAAAAAAAAAAAATCAAAAAGTGATTATTCAACTAGAAACTGTGGTTTGGAGGGGTTAAGGTTTGAGGAAAAGCTTGATTGATCAACTTTTCAGAAAATTTATTCTCCAAAATCACTTTTTTCCCCATCCGAAGGAGAGGAAAGTGTTCGACAGCGAACAAAACATTTTGCTTTTACCCTTTAACAACAGTGATACTTGTGCTACACCTTGAAGCCACGCCCATTATTTGGTAAAAAGTGACAGATTTCAATTCTGTGAAGATCACTAGAAAGAAGAACTAAGTACTAACTAATCAAAAAACAAACTGACCATTGAATATGTTGATTACCTTTGCAGTATTAACATAAAGCTTGGGTCCTGTGAGACTGAACTTAAGTGAGGGTGACATCTTCTTTCTGAGTCCAGCACCAAAACCAAGAGGCAGATCACCATAGACGGGAGCCCATCGTCGAGGCAACTGATATTCGAGGAATTGATGAAGCTCTTCTATTGGAGGTTTATCTGCTTGATGAATGAGAAGTCAAACACTTTTACCAGATAAGAATTGTATTTGTATTCATAAAAAAGAAAGGTCAAGTCGTTAAGTTATATGATGATTTTCCATGTATACACCATTTCACATGCCTAGGCTTCATGAAAAGGAATATCAGCATCTAAAACATAAGTGAAATCTGTATCAACAACAATCATGAAAAACAAACAAGATGTAAAATAAAGCTCCAAAAAAATGCTTTCAAATGTGTCAAACCAAAAGAATCATGAGTATGAACAGACTAAGGGCAATAAATTTTCTGAACAGCTTAGATAGATGCTACAGTACTTCAAAGAGTCTGATTATTTTGAATTCTCTGCAAATGGACCATTCCATATCCGTACAGGTTGCAATTGGAGAGAGAAAGACATGAGAATTTTCAATGTTAGAAACTTCTCTCTTCCTCGTCAACGTTGCAAGCTACTCAGTCCCATAGTCTTTAATCTATCCCGCCCCAGGTGCACATTGTGCATTTCTTCCTTAAATGCAAAGGAGCCAGATTGTAATTCTTTTCATACTTCAGACAGCTCAGAAAATGAGCTTCCCTAACTTTAATCAGTAGCATTATCAACACAAACATTTAAAAGAACCCAATAAATAGGAGGGAAACCAAAGTCATCATAACACAGTTATCTACTCACATCTCAGATACAAATTCATTGCATGACTCAAAAACCCATTGCCAGGAACAGAGTTCAGCAGCATAGTAAGAGGCACAAATGACATTGATATGACACTAGGTGATTGTGATATGGTCGAAAGCCACTGATTATAAGGTTGGCCAGTATCAATACCTCCCCTTCGAACTGAAATGCTCACAATATCCTGTATTGAAAACAATATAAATGTTCAAATCTCTGATACGCAGGAAGGATACAAGGGATGCAAAAGAAAGGCAATGAAATTTTTGATAAGTACTAACATCATTCTTGGAGAAACATTTTACAACTGGCCTGCCAGCAGCATGAAAAGGCCTCTTAGCATGATGATCCTGCAAAAATGGACTCAAATACATTTAGATAAGTAAGAACCAAGAAGTGTTGGGAATTCCATAGTTTAAGTTTGACATAATCGTAGATCATCTACTCCCCTCATATCTTAATTACTAATAACAAAAATTGTAAAATTTAATATAAATGCCCACTTCTTTGCATTATATATTACACTGTTAAATCAAGAGATAAAGCGTCTGGTAAACTAAGCCATATACACATGAACTATCTGCAGAACAGAATTTATTTAAATGAGTTCTAGTTCTAGAATCATAAACACTTAAAGAGACTTACGACATATTCAATTCATCTGATGAAAAAGGCTTAAAATAATCAAATTTCACAGACAAACAGTGTTGCAAGCTGTAAGAACCAATAAAAAAATTGATAAAAAGTTCGAAATCAACAAGCAATTCTTAAGGAGAACGGAAAACATGAGCTTAACACATGTAACCTAACTTTTTTTTTTTTTTGAGCAAAAACACATGTAACCTAATGTCTCACTTATATTCTAAAATAAATGGATCATTCATTGGCACTTGGGCAAAAGTGTCATCACTCACAAACGTCAAAATTATCATAAATTCATAATTAACTATTCCAGGCTATAAACTTGAGAACCTCTAAAAATCATCACACTTGAGTGTATTGATTTTAAGAGCAAGAAAGAAAGTAGGATCCAGGGGATCCAATTCCAGAAAATTTAGAGTCGCATCTATTACCTGTAGATTTCCTGATACTTGGCCAGGATAACTTAGCTCTGCATCCTCAGAAAACCTCTCATCAGCTAATTGTTTGAGGAGTTTCTGCACTTCAGTGGGCTGGAGATCTGAACTTCTCAACTGCTTCATATGAACCACATCCTTACCCCCCATCTTCACTCCAACAATAATATGAGTTCCATATTTGTCAATGAACCTGAGGAGTCATGTTTTATGTTGTTCACTGTTAAAAGTCTAAGAGGAAGACCATTCATATTTTCTTACAAAATAAACAAAGACGATTTTTTGCCAAAACACGAAGACAATTCAAACAGATCCAAATACAGTAAGAACCTACAATTAGTCAACTAGTATCTTGAATTGAAAACCATGTTTGTTTATCCCATATATGATACATTGCTAAATATGTTGTTTAAACAAAAAGACAAAACAAACCCATCCATTCTAAAATACCTCATGATTAAGTGCAAAAGATATTCCCTGTAAATTTAATTCACACATGATTCATATGCACAGTTGAAATCACCATTATAACATTAAAGTAAAATTATAATGCCAGTTAGTAAATTGAAACATTCAAATTCATTGTTCTTGCACATGATTGTCACGTAAACCTTGCAGCTATAGTAAGTTTGGTGACTTATAAATTCATCTTTCAGCTTCTAAGCTCTAAATGATTTATATAGAACTTGCACATACAAAAGTCTCCCACTGTAAGGTCAGCAACTACCTCTAAGGGAAAAAATTGATAGTGAGTATTCATGAGTACATCTCACTCATCTGCATAAATAGTAACTCCACTAAGACAGAAACAGAGACCTTAATGCCCCGTGTCTTCTTATTGTGACTTCATTCATTATCATTTCTCATCATTGCCATCATCAGTATTAGAAATGTTGATGATAGGAGGGAGGGAATGATCATAGTAACACTTACCCAGCAAGTGCAGCTGGATCCCACGAAGAAGGCACTTCCTTAATCACCTTTTCAGAAAGAGTCATGTGAGTCTTGTCTAACCCAATGTTGTACAATGTTATAAACCAGCCATCAAAAGCAAGGGCTTTGGTGGAAGATGCATCCTTTGACCAGCCCTGTTTCATGTCAAACATGGCGTTGAAAAGGCCAGATGGTATTTTTCCCAACAAAGATAGTTCTTGATTGAATTGATTAGACATCTGCAATATATTATATATAACGAAATTGTAAGCTCCTATTAATGCCTTGTACTCTCATCAAATCCATTAACAGTTTCCCATTATTCACTCTTGATTTTAGCTCCACGGCAGGGGCAAAAACGAACGTGAATTACCCAAAAAGGGGGGGGGGGGAGGATGAGTTTGCAACAAGCTCAACAGGAACTTTAACATGAATAATATTCAAATGTCTATCATCGAGGCCTTTCATGCATTGTTAAGATGGCATTTACCAAACACCCATAATTCCTATAACTCAATTTGTCTTGCGATCAAAATTTACTCCCTTTAAAAATATTTTTTTATTAATATTAAAGAATTTCTTCTGATTTCTTATGTCTCAGCGTTGATAATGGTTCAAATGAAACTTCCACACAAAAAAGCATGGGTATCAGACGACACAAAACAAGAATACCACAATGTTCTAAATTTTAACGTTCAGATATGAGGCACATATATGTATGTACATATTCAACGAATTAAGACATCAAAAATGAACAGTATAAAAGAAAATTGAGGTTTCAAGAAGCAGTTCAAACTTCGAACATAAAATAAACGTGTTCATGATGAATTACCCCCTCCCGTTCTAAATATAGAAAATTTTCCCTAGTCCTAAGTATATGATCACATGCAATATTCATTAGTCATAATCAAATATACTCCTATTTAATTCATAAGTTGGTGAGGAAAGAAGAACTACTCGCCTTTTCCAATAAAATTGGATAAAGCTGGATTTGGGAGTAAAAGCATGATTTTTTTAAGAGAATAAGGTTGTTTACTGCCTCTTTTTTTTTCCTTTTTTCTTTTTCTTTTTCTTTTTTCCCGGTGACAAGGTTGTTATAAAGGGAGACTTAGCCATTCATGGGAAGCAAAGCACTACAGTGAAACAATATGTGAAAAATAAGAATCTTAATCACCTGATTAAACGTCAGCACATCGGAGCGAAACCTGGTGCGCTCACCTTTGTCGCACTTGATGGAGGTGGGAACGTCGGAAACGACAACCCCCCCAGGGAAAACGGCGTCCCTCGTCTGCTTCTGATCAATGTCGATCAACCTCTCGGTTTTGCAAGAAGAGAATCGTATATCTCTGCAGAGATCGTATCCAAGCCCAATAACAGAGACGGCTTTCTCCGCCGCCGATTGGGGATTCAAGTCCGCCACACTGCCCATACCCAATGCTCCTCTGAGCTCTCCGAAGCTACAATAACAATACTGCATAGCATCAGTCTTCTTCTGGCTTCATGGGGTTGTTTGGGACATTAAAAGCAAGAGGTTCAAGCGACGACCCCATTGAGCAAGTCTTGGGACTGCGGATTTCCACCTTGAAGGTCTTCGATGGACCAGGGATGGGCTTTATTTTCTAACGGGTGGGGGATTTTGCTCATGGTTCGTTGCTTCTGCGACGGGCAACTCTGAAAACTAACGGACTTGGTCTACTATCCCTGGCATCCTCTTTACCTCCGCTACCCCCCCCCCCCCCCCCAAAAAAAAAAACTATCGCATCAAAACTCCAAATCCAAATTTAATGTTTTATAATAATACTCTCTCACAGATATTTAACTAATTTAATTAGATTAAGAAAGTTAGATAAATTAGTTAATTATAAAAAAATACTTTTCAAGTCTTATATTTAGAACCGGAGGAATATAATATTTTTTTTTTAAAATACCATAATCATCTTTTTTAATATCCTCTTTCTCTCACTTATTTAATTATGGTTGAAGAAGTATTCACAGGGGTAATTTAGAAAAAATTAATAAATATAAAAAATAGATCTTATATTTAGAACCAAAATTAACTTAATAATTAGGTCATATATTAAGAACTTGAAGAGTATTTTATAAAAATAAATATTATTATAAAAAATAGATAAATAAATTTACATTTTTAAAATATTATTATCATAGAGTCTTTTTTCTTCGTTGAATTGTTGAGATCAGACTTTAAATTTTAACAATTTAATTTTTTTATAACAGTTAAATCTGGATCATTGAAATAATTATGAAAGGAAAAGGAGGGTAACAGTCTAACAGAAGGAAAGAGGATGGGCTGGTCAAAAAAAAAAAAAGGAAAGAGGATGGAAAGCGCTGAATTCAAAGAGGGGACCTTTCGAAGTCGATACAGGAGAGTGTGAACGGTGAGGAATAACACGGCGGCTACTTGGACCACTTGCTCTGTACCGTACACGTGGCAGCATGGCGTGTGACGATGAGAACCAGTTGAACAATGTGTTTACATGCTGCGGCCAATCTAATTGACTAATTAGCCAATCAATCTTACGTTGACCAAATATTGATGACTCGTCTTCGTTGACTAAATATTGATGAATCATCTTCTAATTAAGTAGGCCGTTGAGGGCCCCATTAATTAGAAGTAACCTTCAAGGTTCAACTAATTTATATCCCTCAAATAATCACAGTTAACTCATTAAATATGTGTTTAAATTAATAAAAATTTTCAAGTTTACATTTATTAATAAGATTTTGCGGTAAAAAAGAAAAATACAAAAAAATTATATTTAAATATTAATGGACAAAGAATGAGCATCCAAAACTTTTCAAGAGACTTATAATATGAATTATAGAATCCTTCCAAAAAGCTCTTTATTACAGGGATTAGAAGGAGTAATAAAATTGACATTAATATATCAAATTACTGCCATTAATTAATTTTTGAATTTGTTTGGAATACATTAATTACTTTCTTCATTATGTAAAAATATTTATAAGACAAAACACAACATTCTTAATCCTTACCACTCTGGTCATATATGCAAGTTACTTGTAGGAAAAAAAAATTGATTGTAAAAATAAGGCACTAGTAAGATAATTAATTGATAATATTTTATCAATTTTACCCCTTGTTGAATATAATAAAGAGGAAATAGGTAAGAGAAAATGTACTACATATTTCTTCAATATCCTTTCTTTAATAAGGCAGATGAAATTTTTTTATCAATTTAATTATATATATATAAATAAGATACTAGTGACTTGCATGTATGACCAAGGCGACCCTAATAGTAATACGCAACTCTAATGAGAGCGAGTCAACTTTGTTTGAAAATGAAAAGGTTTTCAAATTTATCCATGTCTACATCGATCTAAATTACATTCAAGAATTTATAGAATTTGCAATTAGACGTTCAATGGGAATACTCTTAGGATATGTTCAGCTCAATGAGAGGAAAGGGAGAAGAGGGATTTTAATGGAAGGAAGGGGAGGGGAGGGGAGTAGAAGAATTTTAATATTATCTTGTTTGGATTTATAAAAAAATAGGGGATGGGAGGAAAATTATTTTAATATAGACAATTTTACTCTTATTTTATTTATAGGCATAATGGTCATAACATGACAAAATATGGACATAATAGTCACAACATGACAAAATATAGATATAATGATCACAACATAACAAAATATTACTCTTTCCCTCCAAATCCTCCCAATTTTGGAAGGGAGGTTGAGGAGGGGAGGGGAGGAAAAAAAATTTTAAAAAATTTTCCTTCCCCTCCTAAAATTTGTATGTTACCAAACAAGAGAAAATGATTAAAGTTCTTCCCCTCCTCTCCCCTCCCTCCCAAATCCCTCATACCAAACACACCCTTGGAAAAATGCTAACACCTCATTTGATGCCTCATAACAAACTCATATGCAACATATTTTTAACAAGTGCAAGTGTGCCACTCTTACTCATTTTAACTATAGATGATTAAAGATATGTTACCCATAGCTAAAAAGAGTTGCACCTACTGAAAATAAATTACACTTGCTCAATGAAATGAATATTTAGGCACCTTTATAGGTAAAAAAGACTTGCACCTCTTGAAAATAAATTACGCTCGGTCATTGACATGAATATTTAGGTATCTTTAGGTAATTTTGCATTGAGCCATTTTTCAGCAAATTTTTCCAAAATATAATTTATAAATTATAAATAATGTTATTCACTTTATGTTTTTCCAATATAAATCTACTACTGTTAAATTAATTCCTTTTAATATATTTTCTGGTTTTTTGGAGAACAGTCTTTTTTTTTTCTTGTTGTTTTAGTACTATATCAACTTTGTTGATTTTAATATATTATTTTGTCTTTTCTTAAAAAAAAAATCTACTATCTACTTTTGCCAAAAGAAAAATCTACTATATGCACCGTTTATTGACATTCAATGTCTTCGCTGAAAAAAATAATAATAATAACGCTCAACGTCAATTCATTATTCATCATTTTGAAGATTATGGCTAACACGACACGCATGACACAAATCTAGTTTAAATTAAATCTAGCATATATTAACACACAAAAATTATGGTTCATATTAATATATAGAAATTACTGTAAATTTGGTCCTGATTTCGCTTTCCATATGACAGAAAATTATTGGCCAAAATATTATAGAAAGAACATGAAAGAATTAAACGGGAGTACGTAGTATTTAATATTTATTATGAAAATCAATATCAATACATGTAAATGTATAAAAAAAGTTACACTATTTATAAGTTATAAATAGTATAATTACTTACAGAAAAATAAAAAAAGTATATATAATAATAAATAAAGGTAATTAATAGTCTACACGGAAGAAGAAATTCTTTGCCCTCAAAAAAAAAATTATTGTAATAAGGATTTCAAAGTCACCTAAAGTTTTATTCTGTGTGGTATTGGCTAGCAATATTTTTCCTAAAAAACGGAAATTTCAATTTTTAAAGTAATCGGTAATGACAACATTAAGCATTTAAAATTTCGGTATTGTGAAAATGACTTTGATCAGAAAAGTCTAACATGCCAAATGAAAGCTCCAACTGCAACTTCCAACGGCAGAATACAAAAAAGTTGGCTAATCTTTGAGCCATTATTGCTAGATGGAATTCTTTTTTTAAGTCCAAATTCTTATAAAGTTTTTATTATAAAAAGCTCAATTTAACACCATCAACGATGATTTCCCGTAATCAACAAATAGTTGTTGTTCATTAAAATCCTCGCAGATACATCTATTACAAAATGACGTCATTGCAAAAATTCTGCAAATTAACATGTAATAAAACAAATAGATTGACCTAATAGGTATAAAAATATCATGATAAAGTATACTTTTAATCTTTTAACTTTACAGAAAGTTTTAGTTTGATACTTTAATTATAAAGCATATTTTTAGTCATTTAATCTTAAAATTATTTAAAAAATGATGACATTAAAATTTTGAATGGTAATAAAACATTTTCAAACGCTATCATATTAAATTTAATTTTTTAAAACAACCATAATTGTTATAAAAACTTATCATTTAAAACTAATGTTTTAAAGTTAAAAGACTAAAAAGATACTACTCATGATCTTTAATATAAGAACTAGTTGACTAATTTGAGTAGATTAAACAAGTTTGTTAAGTTAGTTATTTGTAATAAATATATGTTGTTTTTCTTAAAATACCCTTACTAATCAAATCTCATTTGATGAAATATTTAATATGTGCAACAACTATAAGGATTGTCTTGAAAAAAATGAATAAATATAAGAGACAAAGTAGATTAGGGGTCTTATATTTAATATCAAATTAAAAGTTAAACTAGCTCTCATATTAAGATCGAAGGTAGTACTTTTTAAAGTTAAGAAACTAAATTAAAATCTTATACTACCTTTGGTCTTTAATATTAGACCTCGTTTAACTTTTATTTTGGTCTTAAATATAAGACTCCAATCCATTTTGTCTCTCATATTTATACATTTTTTTCCAAGATAGTTCTTCTGATAATAGTAGTTTTAACCAATACACTTGATTAATAAAGATGTTTTAGGAAAACAACACTTATTTATTATAAATAACTAACTTAACTCTTTTTCTTAATCTCCTCAAATTAGTTAACTAGCTCTTATATTTAGGACCGAAAGTAGTATAAAGTTAAAAGACTAAATATACACGTTAGGCAAAATGTTAATAAAAAAAAACCTTTAAATTCTTGGTGATTTGATTATTAATACTTTTATCAAGATGGCTATGGAACGGATGCAAGATTGGCACTTAATAGTCTTATACCCGTTGTTTATAATTTGACTTTTCTTTAAATAAATATAGTATATGTTGAGAATATGCACTTTAAGGATTACCCCCATCAGTCTTAAAAATATGAGTCAGTTGAAAATTTGGGTTATGAAAATAAAATCTCAATGTGCTTCTATTATCTGAGTTTATAATTTGTTTTTCTAAACTACCCGTGTCATTGCATATATTAAGAGTAGTTTATACAAGCGAGCAAAGTGATTGCGATGTAAATGATTAAAAATGGTATTTTAAAAGAAAAACAATACAAATTTTCTACAAATAATTAGCTCAATTAATTTAATTAATCTCCATAAATTAATTTTTTTTCT